CTGTCTGTTGAAATCACAATACACATACCCACATTATTTGATGTAGAGCGTCAAGATTTAGCAGAACAATTTATATTGGGCCTAGGATGGTTGGTATTAAAAATGAGATATACCGGTCCACGTTTTGGTATAGTCCCCATATAACAGTCTGGATATTCGGAATTATGATGATTTTTGCTTCATTTTTTCACGGATTTGTCTAAAAATTGGTATTTGTAGTAAAGGCCTGCACAAGACGAATTGTATGAATTAGGCTTTTTTCGACACACTGACTTTGTCTACTCAATCATGCGCTATGTATTTGATAGTCAATGACAACCAACAACATCCCCCATTTTGATTCATGTGTGCAATTGTCTAAGGTTCGATCGTGGCATGGCTGACTCGAATATTTACATGGTGTTCTCCATAAATGCAGGGTGTCAACGATGACATCGAACCGTGTCATCGTCAAATTGTGTGTCATTTGTGTACGTGTGCTTAAATTGAGAGAGAGTGTGTGTGTGTTACTTTCGACGGTGAGGTTGTGTTTTTGTGTGTGCTGTAATTTTGAAGTAACAAACACCGCGTAAATATAAAATAGAGTTCAATAACAAAATGTGCATAGGCATCAACAAATGAATAGAAAAATGAAATATATACTGAACAATCCCAATTTATTGGTGATTATAATAAAATTTTGGTCATAAAAAAGAGGTAAATATTGTTTGCCTATTTTTTATCTACATATAGTGTTCATTTAAAATTAAAGTTTGTGGGCAGAGATTTGACTCTCATTCAATAACAGAATATGCAGAGAATTAAACAATGGAAGTATATAGTGTTGTAACGTGAATTACAGTGGCACTCATTCTCATTTACACCTCAATACCGGATTTATGAAATTATAATCAAAATAAGAAAAATTTTCAGGGGATCATTGTTTTTTTAATAAGGATTAACATTTTAGATTGTTTCGTCAATAACCACGAAATGTGAAAATTTTGTTTGGACCAATTAGAAGTACCTTTAATATTTTAGTAATCGCAAGGAAATTATTTATTACAAAAAATTTACTTTTTCACATATCGGAAAAGCAGGTAGCGATTGCCCTTTGCCTTCATCACGTGTGTGTCTTTTTCGTTGGCAATTATTTAATAATTGTTGTTGTTTTTTTGATAGAACATTTTTGTCTGACACACTATTCAACATTCCCTTTTATTGGTCATTACATGTTATGACGATGGGTTTGAGTGTCACCGACATGACGAGACATCGAGCATTTGGTTGGATGTCACGTACGGTTATGCGTTTGATCAAACAGGGCACAACATGACGAGCGTTTTCTCTGCATGGCATAAATAGAGAAAATTGTCACATTTGCAGCCCTTTAATTTGTAGGTCATAAAAGTTTCTAGCTCGTGTGGCGAAAGATTGCGAGATGAAAAAACTGCAACCAACTTTAGACTACTGTCATTTCTAGGCCACTCGTCCGACAGCTGTAAAAATTATTCCAGTGACAGCTCATTATATTGTTTATAAGTGTACAAAAGCATTCTGGTGAGAAATTTCCAGAAAAAAAGTTATTCGTAATCGAATTTAAGGGTGATAGTGTAATTTCTTTATATTTGGTTGGAAAACCACAAGTGGCTATCCTTAGAACACTCCAGCATTTAAATGTGAATAAATCTTTTGTGTCTTCTACCATCGCTCGTTACCGTAATACTCCGACGTCAAAGAAGTGGACGGATCAAAACAGCAACATCAGCATCAGAAATGGTTCGAAAAGTAAAGATGTAACTTGATCGAAACCCGCGTCGCAGTAGCTCGTGAGCTGAACATATCGCAATATTCCATTCGGCAAATATTGAAAAATGAGCTCGGGGTAATGCCAATGAAATTGCAAAAGGTGCAAGAACTTACACCCCAACAGAAAGAAAATAGACTCAAAAGAGCTACAGAGTTGCTTCGCTTGGCCGAAAGTGGTGAACTTCGATGAGAAAACATTCGCTTTACAGCAGTTTGTAAACAAGCAAAATGATCGTGTTTACTTGCCAAAGAGGTCAAATGTGCACCTTCTGTTGGCCAATGGTCGCTCTCCGATCGTATTAATCGACCATGGCATCAGAATAAATTCCGAATATTATGGCGAATATAATCTGGAGGGTGTATTAAAGCCTTGGGCACACAAATATTTTGGCTGCAGGCCTTGGACATTCCAACAGGACTCATCGCTATCGCACTCAGCACACGCAACCCAAGAATGGGGTTCCTCACTTTATTTCCAGGGCACAATGGCCACCAAAATCTCCGGATACCAATCCGTTGGACTGTTGTGTCTGGAGTATTTTGGAAAGCAAGGTTGGCACTATAAAATACCAAAGTGTCGATCACCTCAAGCAAGCGCTTCGCCGGGAATGGGCCAAAACACAGCAGAGCAACATTCGGGCAGCGTTTAGTTGAAGATGGCCACGTTTAGTTATAGCTCCCATATAACTGTAACTCTCTATATTGGATATTTTGGATATTTTAGCGACATTGTTCACCGGAATCGTTTCAAATTTCGTAATGATAGTTCGTAATGGGTACTACAGTCTGTGACAGAAAATTGTCACATCCGATATTTTGATGATATTAGCTACATTATTCACTTTTTTTTAAGTTTCGCATTTGAATATTGTAATAGCTTATGACAAAAGTTACCTATGCAGGTCCATGTCGTCGTATAGACCCTAATATAACAGCTACATTCGGTATTTTTAAGATTTTAACAGAATTTTTAACGGATTTTATTGTATTTGAGAATTGCCAAATTCGTTCCAAACGTTGGAAGGTATTCAAAGATCGGCCCGGGCGAACTTACAGCTTTTTATACCCTACACCACATAGTGGTAAGGGTATTATTATGTCTTTGTGCATTTGTTTGTAACATGGAGAACCTTCATAGAATCACTTTCTGAGTCGATTTATGCATGTCAGTCCGTCTGTCCGTCCGTCCGTCCGTCTGTTCGGCCTAGAAGCAAGTATATCAAATTTGGAGAAAATCGGTTCAGATATAGCTATAGCTCCCATATATATCTTTCATCCGATTTGATCTTTAAGTCCCTCACATTCCTACTATGCACTCCACAATCGTGATATTTGGTACCAGGTATTAGATGGAGCACAGAAATAGCTGTTTTAAATTTTATCGAAATTGGTTCAGATTTGGATATAGCTCCCATATATATCTTCATCCGATTTCGGGTTAATTGACCACCAAATGGCCAATATCAGCCCAAATGGCCCGAATTTTGGCACATGTGACCGAGATTAGCCTTAAAGCAAATACAACAAATTTGGAGAAAATCGGTTCAGAAACAGCTATAGCTCCCATATATATGTTTTATCCGATTTGGTGTTTAAGCCTCTCACATTCGTAATATGCACTCCACAAGAATGATATTTGGTACCAGATATAAGATACAGCCCAGAAATAGCTGTTTGTAATTTTATCGAAATCGGTTCAGATTTGGATATAACTCCCATATATATCTTCATTCGATTTCGGGTTAATTGTGCACCAAATGGCCGATATAAGTCCAAATGGACTGAATTTTAGTACATCGGACCAAATTCAGCCTAGAAGCAAGTATATCAAATTTAGTGAAAATCGGTTCAGATATAGATATAGCAACCATATATATGTTTCATCCGATTTAGTGATTTTGTCCCATACATTCGTAATATTCACTCTACAACCGTGATATTTGGTACCATGTATTAGATGGAGCACAGGAATAGAAGTTTTAAATGTTATCGAAATCGGTTCAGATTTGGATATAGCTCCCATATATATCTTCATCCGATCACCTGAATTTTCGTACATAAGACCGAATTCAGTCTAGAAGCTAATACGTAAAATTTGGAGAAACCCGGTTCAGAGATAGCTATAGTTCGTAAAATGCACGATAGAATTAGATAGATTTTGATTTTGTACCAAATATCTCATAGAGCTCTGAAATGCCCTGTATAAATCTTTTTACGAGAGCTCTACTAAATATGCATAGTGGTGTAGGGTATCATATAGTCAGCCCCGCCCGACTTTTGAGCTTTCCTTACTGGTTTTACTTGTTTTAGTTAATTTTTTTCAAAACATTTGTTCATAAAATTCATGTTTTTATATTATTTTTAATTAATATTATTTTATATCGAATTCCATCATTTTTGGAACAATGTTTAAAAAATCCAAGCTCCAATTTAAAAAAAATCTCGTTTTTCCCCAAATTTTTTAGATTATTTTACAAAAACCAGGTTTTTGTTTTGTTATTTTTGAAATACGTTATTTTTTCAATTTAAAAAGTTATTTTCCTATTAATCACTTCATTTTTGTAAATATACTTTTTAATAAAAATTTCTAAATAAAATAAAATATTTTCTAACAAACTACAAATACAAATGCACATTTACATATTTATCAAATAAAATCTTATTTTATTTGCTATCTTAATTTTTTTGCAAAATCTACCTTTGGTTATATTTTGATTTTTGAGAAAATTAATTTTATTTCGCTGTAAAAAGAATATAAAAAATAATAAGTTTTTAAGCACTTACGATTTAATTTCACGTTTTTGATTAAATATTTACCATTCGAAACCACCAGAATTCATAGAACTTTTTCCTCACTAAATCACACTCCTTTCAAATCCCAATGTAAAGTAAATCAAGTCTTGCTATCCAAACGGGCTGTGTTGTTTTTATAAAGATCTTTATTTTTAGTTCCTGAACTTGAACTTGCCTTTTTTTCTGCTGCACGTCACCGCCATTGCCTCCAATTAAAGCAAAAGACGAAATCAACACCCTCCCAAAACCATACCACAACAATAACAACAAACACATGTATCTGAGACAAGTACAAACGTTTAATTTCAGTTCATTTCATTTTTTTTTTTTTTAAATTCCAAATCGAATAATTCCATCTTCAATATGCTGATGATGATTAAGCGACGATAACGATTAACATATAAAACTTGAAGATTCGTTGAGTGGAATCAACAGTTGTTCCAAAGACTTTGTGGTGTTTACACAGCATCCCGACGAATTTTAACCGCATCTGCGTTTTTTTATTTTTAATTTTAAAACTTTATTTTAATTTCCGTGACAAAATGAAATTCGCTGTAGTTGTGTGTGTTTTATTCGGAATGTTGGCCTGGAGTGAAGCGGCCATTGCCACAGCCCGCTTCCATAATCCAAGTGAGTGTTTTCTAAATTCAAGGATTTATAGAAGGGAATAAAGGATGCAAAAAAAAAAATACAAAATTAAAGTAAAGAAGTAAAAAAGCTGTAACTTCGGCCGGGCCGAACTATGAATACCCTCCACCGTTTGGAACGAATTTGACAATTCTCAAAAACAATAAAATCCGTTAAAAATTCTGTTAAAATCTTAAAAATACCGAATGTAGCCGTTATATTAGGGTCTATACGACCCTATTTGTCATAAACCATTACAAAGTTCAAATGCGAAACTTGAATAAAAAATTCGGTGAATAAAGTGTGTAAAAACATCAAAATACCGAATATCGGGAGGTACCGCTATATGGTGGCTACACGAAGACGTGGACCTGCACAGACAGTTTTCTGTCAAAGGCTGTATCATCCATTACGAACTTCAAATACGAAATTTGAAACAGTTCCGGTGAATAATGTCCCTGAAATCATCAACATACCTAATATAGAGATCTACCGTTATATGGGGACTATACGAAGACGTGAACCTACTTATGAATTTTTTTCATAGGCTATAGTACCTCTTACGAACTTCAAATACCAAATTTGAAACAGTTTCAGTGAATAATGTTGCTGAAAACACCGAAAAACCGGGTATCGGGAAGTACCGTCATATGAGGGCCATACGAAGACGTGGACCCGCATACGAAATTTTTTCCCATAGCTCGTAGTACCCATTAAGATCTTTCAATACGAAATTTGATACGATTCCGGTAAATAATGTCGCTAAAATCATCAAAATACCGAATATCGGGAGGTATCGTTATATGGGGGCTACACGAAGACGTTGACCTGCACAGACAATTTTCTGTCATAGGCTGTAGTATCCATTACGAACTTCAAATACCAAATTTGAAATAATTCCGGTAAATAATGTCACTGAAATCATGAAAATACCGAATATCGGAAGGTGTCGTTATATGTGGCTACGCGAAGACGTGGACCTGCACGGTCAATTTTCTGTCTTAAGCTGTAGTATCCATTACTAACTTCAAATATCAAATTTGAAACAATTCCGGTGAATAATGCCGCTAAAATCATCAAAATACCGAATATCGGGGGTATCGTTACATGGAGGCTATACCAAAACGTAGACCTACATGGCCCATTTTTAATAGCAAAAGTCCTGCAGACATAATATGCATTTGAGTAAAATTTTATCAATCTACTTCAATTCGTTCGGAAGCTAGAGTGATTTCCACAGACGAACAAACGGACGGACATCGGTAGATTGTCTTAGAATTTTGCACTGATTCAGAATATAAAAACTTTTTAGGGTCTATTATGAATATTTCCAGAAGTTACAAACGAAATGACAAAGCTAATATATCCTTCATAGAATTGTAGAGGATAGAAAAATGGCAAAATTCTTTAAAATACCATGTTGAGGGTCTGCTGGTAAGATATTCTGATTATTCCTGTTCCTGGGATTGTCATCATCGACCCCATTATAGGAATTACTGTGAGACGAAACCAGAGTCCCCACCATCATCTATCATCACTAATCAGAGAATCTGGCTATTTCCTACACTTCTTTTTTAACACAAGATTTAGCTTGTAGATTACAAGGCTTCTCATGCGTTACAGGATTAAACAATTAAAATTTGTGATGCAGAGAAATGGTAAATGCCAGCGATTTAAAAGAGTTGAAGCCACTTTATAATTTTTATATCCCAAAATATTTTCATATCTCAACTCAATGTCTTCGATTTTTTTTACTAAATATTTGTTTCCAATCGAAACCTAACGAATTAACTCATATTTCCTTTGCAGCATATCCTGGTAAATGTACAATTGATTCAAACACGATTTTATCGCCTGGTCAAAAGGGTAAAGCCCCCAACAATCCATGTGCGGGAGTAACATGTATGGATAATAGCTATGTGGAATTCAGAACGTAAGTTTAAAAAAAAAATAAATTAAATTCAGAAACATTCACCAGTAACTTCTTCTTTCACAGATGTCCCGCTGTGCCCCCACCAAAAGGTTGTAAATTGCGCGATTTTGTCAACGTAAATCGCAGCTACCCCGAATGTTGCGAACGTACATATGATTGTACCAAACACATTTAAATGGACTAAGGAAATAACTAATGAAATTAGCAAAATAACAATAATCATTAAAAATAAGCTAATCTTCTCAATCTAAAAATACAACAACAACAAAACAACGAAAAATACAAGTGGTTGTTGAACCCACAGTTTTGTGCAATGAAACTAAAACATGAGGGTGTGTCATGTCCACAGTCAGTTAACAATTTATGTTTAGTATAACTCCATCACTCACAGATTCATCCACACCTTCGCATCATCATTCATCAGCATGTAATCATAAATTCATAATTTGATGACGAAGATTAGCGGTTTTATGTGTTTCATTATTTTTTGCCTCCCATATAGGAAGCTGTTATTTTTTTAAATTGTTAAACGATTGTATTCTGTTTGTTTCTTTAATGTCATTATTATTTTTTCATTATAAAAAGTATGTACGTAATTTATTTCATCTAGATTTTTTCATTTGTAAACAAAGAATAAATAATCACATAAAAAAAAAACTACCAAAAAAACGTGTTTCTTTTGTTTTGTTTCGTTGCATTCCAAAAAATACTTTTGATAATTCACAGTTCACATGTAACGTGATTCGTTCGGCTAGTCTGTGATCCAATTAACAAGAAGTTATTAATTAAATAAATCTTTGGGAAATTGTGACTCGAATTGCACATTGAAATTGGAATGTTGGGAATTTGTTTCTTCCTGCTGCAGAAGGGCCTCTATAAAGTCTCTGAAAAAAAGAGGAAAATATTATTAACAATAAGTATTTTTGGAAATAGACATATATAGGTTATTAAAATACAAAAAGGCCCTAAAAACCCACACATACAGGGCGAGATATAAAAACTGCAACATTTTAGACCCCACAAAGTATATATATTCTTGATTTTTTTTTTTTTGTCATAGAAGTTATTTTAAAAATGTTTTCTGGGGAGAATATCCCAGACAAAAAATAAGGAAACTGATGAGGATTGGTGGCTCTTTCCGAAACCTAGGTATTCCCTGCCTTACCCCCTGGTAAACATTATCATCGTTCTCCACTAATAAACAAACGTTGTTTTTATAGAAACAACAATAAAGGGATTAAGCCTGACCATTTTGCAACAACAAAATACTATGGTATCCCAAACAAACAAGCCAACACTGTTCTATTCTTGATCAGCATAAAATTCTATGTCGATTTAGCAATGTCCGTCCATCTATCCGTCTGTGGAAATCACTTTAGCTTCCTAACAAAATTAATTAGGTTGATAAAATTTTACTCAAATGTGTATTATGTCTGTAGGACTTTTGGTATTGAAAATGGGCCATGTAGGTCCACGTCTTCGTCCACCCGATTCCACCCGATATTCGGTATTTGGATGAATTTAGCGACATTATTTACCGGAACTATTTCAAATTTGGTATTTGAATTTCGTAATGAATGCTACAGCCTATGGCAGAAAATTGTCGGTGCAGGTCCACGTCTTCGAATAGCCCCATTTAACGGTGCCCCCCGATATTCGGTGTTTTGGTGATTTTAGCGACATTATTTACCGGAACTATTTCAAATTTGGTATATGAAATTCGTAATGGACACTACATACTAAGACAGAAATTGAGCCATGCAGGTCCACGTCTTCGTATAGCCCCCAAATAACGATACCCCCGATATTCGGTATTTTGATGATTTTAGCGACATTATTTACCGGAACTATTTCAAATTTAGTATTTGAATTTAATAATGAATGCTACAGCCTATGGCAGAAAATTGTCGGTGCAGGTCCACGTCTTCGAATAGCACCCATCTAATGGCACCCCCGATGTTCGGTATTTTGATGATTTTAGCGACATTATTTACGGGAATTGTTTCAAATTTCACATTTGAAGTTCGTAATGAATACTACAGCCCATGACAGAAAATTGTGTGTGCAGGTCCACGTATCTCCCTATATTCGGTATTTTGATGATTTTAGCTACATTATAAACAGATTTTTTTTCCAGTTTCGCATTTGTATATTGTAATAGCTTGTGACACAAGTTGCCTATGCAGATCCACGTCGTCGTATAGACACTAATATACGGCTACATTCGGTATTTTTAAGATTTTAACAGAACGGATTTAATTTTTTTTAAATTTGTACCAAATGCTGGAGGGTATTCAAAGTTCGACCCGGTCGAACTTACATCTTTTTTACTTGTTTTAAATTTTATTATATGAAAGCAACAAGTCGGAAAAAGCATCAAATTTTAGAATATGTTTAAATTTGTTCGAATTGGTCACCTTTGGCACGAATTATGCCCAATGAAACGGCCAATGAAACCGTCACACGCTGCCCGAATGTTGCTCTGCGGTATTTTGGTCCACTTCCGACGAAGCGCTTGCTTGAGGTGATCGACACTTTGGCATTTTTTAGGGCCAACCTTGTTTTCCAAAATACTCCAGACACAATAGTCCAACGGATTGGTAAACGGAGATTTTGGTAGCCATTTTGCGCTGGAAATGAAGCGAGAAATGAAAAAATGAAGCGGAAAAAATGTACACCTTCGGTTGGCCACCAGAACTCAAGCGCCGGCCATGGTGATGGTGTGGGCCGCAATAATAGCCGATAAATATCGAATATTATCGCGAAAATATTCTGGAGCGTGTGTTAAAGCCTTGGGCACGCAAACATTTTGCCCGCAGGCCTTGGACATTCCAACAGGACTCAGCACCATCGCACTCAGCACGCGCCACCCAAGAATGGTTACAAAATGAGGTTTCTCGCTTCAATTCTAGCGCACTATGGCTACCAAAATCTCCGGATACCAATCCGTTGGACTATTGTGTCTGGCGTATTTTGGAAAGCAAGGTTGGAACTAAAAAATACCAAAGTGTTTCGCCGGGAATGGGCCAAAAAACCGCAGAGCAACATTCGGGCAGCGTATGAGGGTTTCATTGGCCGTCTGAAGCCCATAATTCGTGCCAAAGGTGAAAAATTCCAACAAATCTAAACTTGTTCTAAAATGTTATGCTATTTCCGACATTTTTTGCTTTCATTCAATAAAATTTAAAAAAATGAAAATTATGGCGTTTGACTTTGTTGCAGTTTTTTTTTTCTCACCCTGTATAGGGGATATATGATATCGTGAACCTATATAGACAATTCCCTTCCAGGGGTAATGTATTCACAAGAAGTGAGGATTTTAAGACAATTCCATTAAAAAATGGGGGCTATACGATATCGTGGAGCTATAAAGACAATTCTCTTCGAGGGGATAAAGTACTTACAAGTATATTTTTTGAGAATTTTCAGATAATTCCATTGAAAAATGTTGCTAAAATTATCAAAAGCCGAATGAAGGGGGATGCCGTTATATGGAGGCTATATGATATCGTGAACCTACGTAGATAATTGTCTTCCAGGGGATAAAGTACTCACAATGAACTCCTTCTGTTGATATTTAGACAATTCCGTTGAAAAATGTGGCAAAAATCATCAAAATACCGAATATCGAGAGGTACCGTTATATGGGGGATACACGATATAGTGGACCTATATAGACAATTCTCTTTCAGGGGGTAAAGTGCTCATTAAGAACTCCTTGTGTAGAATTTCAGACAATGCCATTGAAAAATGTGGCTAAAATCATCAAAATACCGAATATAGGGGGGTACCGTTATATGGGGGCTATACGATATCGTGGGCCGATATGGCCCATTTTCGAACTTGACGTGACTGCAGACAAAAGACAGATCTGTGCAATATTCTAGCTTCCTATTTTAATATATTTTGATTGTAGCGTGATTACAACAGACGACCAGGCTAAATCGTCTTAGAATTTTACGCTGATCAAGAATATATATACCTTGTTGGGTCTTAAAATATTATTTCGATAAGTTATAAACGGAATGACGAACTTAATAAACCCACCATACAATGTATGGAGGAGGGTATAAAAAAATAAATTATACTTACTCTTCCTCGGCCAAAGTAATGTTAACTCGCCCTGTTGTTATTTCCGTTGGACGTATGGAACCAAAGAAATCAGTAATAGGAACTTTATTTGGATCGCGTCGGTACAAATCCTTGCGCACGCCCACGGTGGAAATGCATAAACGCTTGGGGCAGACTTTCAACTATGGAAGACATAGTTAACTACTTATCATTTGGATAAAATATCTTTAAACTTACAAATTCACCCATGGTTTTGTCACTGTTAGGTTGGACTTTCTCCAAAAATTCCAAAGCATAGTATGTATAACGATCAATCATATACACACCAATAGACGAGTCAACGTGGTGCTGAGAAAAAAAGAGAGAACGAAAAACGTGCATAGATTAGCCAGAACGTATTTTAAAATAAATACAAATTTAGTATTGTAATTTATCCTGAATTCTGTGTGGATTTCTGTGGAAATTTAGTTTCTATTCTAACAAATTTTAAAGAACAATATTTCAATGATATATTTATTAGTTACCGATAATGAATCTTCTCCCACCAAACTGCTGGCAACAGCTAATATATTGGGTGAAGTGAATTTCTCATACAACGATGCAGCTTGACATGTATCCACCATTAAGAACAGTTCATTATATCTAAAAAAAATATTCAGATTTATATTAGTCATCTTAAATTGTTTTTCGAACTGATATCATTTTAAATAGACCTACCTCTTCTTCTCCCACATTTGCTCAACAGCATCAGCCAATTCCTGACTAGTAATCTCTTCCGAATCTTGGAATTTCAGGAAACCATCACCACCATGGCCTGTCAAATAAATTAAAACATTACTACCAGCATCGGTTAGCAATTTCTTTGAACGAGCTGTGCCGTTTTGCGTTCTCCCCGTCAGCAGACGTACAAAATTCTCCACTGTGACTTCATAACCACGATAATCAACCTCGACATCATCACCGTAAACGTTAATATGTTGATTGGCATTATTGTAAACCTGACCAGGTCTTGGATTACGAGGATTACACGCCATATCATCGGCAATCATTAGAATAATTTGAGAATCGGGTATGCCCAAACGTTTTACCGAACGATAAATAGACAAAACATTGGCGACATGGCGATAGTTAAACCAGAAGCGGGAGGCATCAACCAGAACAGCCCAGTTGTTGGTGTGGGTTGATCTTTGTACCGCATCGATATATTGATTAAGTTGATTGGATGGCTGTAAAAGGAAAAAAATGTCACATTATTTAAAAAAATCATTGATTTATTATCTTACCTCTTGGCCTACACCTAGCGAGACATTTAACGCCAATAATACTGCAAATATAAAAAGCTTTCCCATCTTTAGGCCGCTGAAAATGACTTGTCTGGGACCCTTATACTGTAAGAGAAAATGAAAATGCGTGGAGTTGTTAGTAAATTATCAGAAATATAATTTATAAAATCAGGTTAAGTTTTTTCTGTCTAATCTTTTTTGGAGAAGTAGATATTAAAATATATCACCGCAGTCTGCAGTACGAGTTGAGTGTGGGCTTGTGATTTTATTGGTGTCTAGACAACGTAAAAGGATTATTTTTTTGTTATTATCAGCCAAAGCGTTACCCGGCCTTTAATGTAATTGCCATTTTAGACAGTAATCTGCAATCAAATCCTTCGAATTAAAAATTATTCCAGGAAAGTTTATATACCTCTGATATCTTCTCCACACACAACTCACAACAACAAAACCAGCCCTTGTGAAGAGGAAAAGGACGTATGTAGATAGACTGGTCGATAAATATCTAGAATCAAAACAAAACGAGCAATTGGGGAAAATAAATAGGGTTCTATAAATTGGAAACAGAAGATGAAAGGTTTATAGAAGTCGACTGTTTAGAGCATTCACACTGAGGTGATACCATTATCTTCTATTAAGTTAGGAATTTTTAGGTCGACTTTGAATAGTTGAAAACATATTGCGAATAAAAATACTTGTCTACAACGAAAATGCAATAAATAAATGATTGGTGTCAAGTTTTAGTCTACCATTTGCCCCTTCGAAGTTCAAGTATAAATATATTAAAACTTAGCCCAAAATCTAATTAAATGTATTAATTTTTAACTAACAAGGTGGTGGTAAATGTTATCCCCACTTCACATTTTATTGAAATTCTCTTCTATATTGCGATGAATAAATGTAACTGTTTTGTTTAAATGAAATGATCTTTTTTTTGTTATTTAAAATATTAAAAGCTTACTCTAATAAAAACAAATAATTATCAAAAAATATTTTTAAAATTAAAAGGGATAAAATTTCATCAAATAAGTTCCAAATTGTCACCTTGACAGTTAAAGGTTTAAATGCCAGCTAATTTCGATAAACTCAATGATTTCATTAAAATTACCCTTTCATTAAGAGGGTTAACGGAAACCGCATGGAATGCTTTGAAATAATTTTGAAAATTCTTTTGAGTCCGCAAAATTTGTATAAAGTTCACATATAATAAAAGAATACTTTTCAAACATTAAGGTTGATTTAGACTATACTCCTGAAAATTACCCATTTAATTTATATTTTTATACCCTAAACCGAACTATAGTTTGTCATTCCGTTTGTAACACCTCCACCTTGTCTGTGCAGTTCCACGTCTTCGTATAGCCCCCATATAACGGTACGTCCCGATATTCGGTATTTAGATGATTTTAGCGACATTATTCACCAGAATTGTTTCAAATTTAGTGTTTGTAGTTCGTAATGGATACTACAGCCTATGACAGAAAATTGTCCGTGCAGTTCCACGCTATTTTGATAATTTTAGAGACATTATAAACAGAATATTTTTTCAAGTTTCGCATTTGAGTATTGCTTTTGACTCTTTGGCTTCAGGTCCACGTCCGTTTGGTATTTTTAATATTTTAAAATAATTTTAACGGATTTTATTTTTTTGAAAATTGCAAAATTTACTCCAAATGGTGGAGGGTATTCAAAGATCTACAATATATAGTTCCAAACCCCTCAAAAAACTTCAAGTGTTGTAAATTTTATCAATTTTTCATGAAAAAATTGAGTTTTAGAAGTATCGTCGTATGGGATAACAAATAGTATCATAATGTATGTACAGGGTGAGATAAAAAAACTGCAACAAAGTCAAATGCCATAGTTTTTATTTTTTTTTTTTTTTAATTTCATTGAATGAAAGCAAAAAATGTCGGAAATAGAATCAAATTTTAAAATAAGTTAAGATTTGTTCGAATTGGTCACCTTTGGCACGAATTATGGCCTTTAAACTGCCAATGAAAACGTCACACGCTACCCGAATGTTGCTCTGCAGTATTTTGGCCCATTCCCGGCGAAGCGCATGCTTGAGGTGATCGACACTTTGGTATTTTTTAGTGCCAACCTTGCTTTCCAAAATATTTTAGACACAATAGTCCAACAGATTGGTATCCGGAGATTTTGGTGGGCATTGTGCGCTGGAAATGAAGCGGGGAAATTCATTTTGTAACCATTCTTGGGATCGTGCGTGCTGAGTGCGATGGTGCTGAGTCCTGTTGGAATGTCCAAGGTCTGCTGCCAAAATGTTTGCGTGCCCAAGGCTTTAATATACCCCCCAAAATATTTTCTCGATAATATTCGGCATTTATTCTGATGCCACGGTCGATTAATACAAGCGCAGATCGACCATCGGCGGTTATGGCGGCCCATAACATCGGAGAAAACCAAATTCGGCAGTTTACCAAGCTAAGCCAAGCGAAGCAACTCTTTAGCTCTTTTGAGTCTATTTTCTTTCTGTTGCCGTGTAATTTCTTGCACTTTTTGGAATTTCAATGGCTTTACCCCGATCTCATTTTTTAATATTTGCCGAATGGAATATTCCGTTATGTTCAGCTCACGAACCATTTTTCGGCCACTGCGACGCGGGATGTTGCTGTTTTCTTCCGTCCACTTCCTAGATGTCGGGCTACATTACCAGTATCACGGTAACGAGCGACGGCACGAGACACAAAAGATTTATTCACTTTTAAATGCTGGAGTGCTCTAACGATAGCCACTTGTGGTTTTCCAGCCAAATATAAAGAAATCACACTTGAATTCCAACACGAATAACTTTTGGACTTCTGGAAAATTCTCACCAAAATGCTTTTGTACGCTTGTAAACAATATAATGAGCTGCCACTGGAATCATTTTATAAGCTGTCGGACGAGTGGATTAGGAATGACAGCAGTCTGAAATTGGTTACAATTTTTTAATCTCACCCTGTATATGCAATGGATATACTTTTACTGTCTATCTCTTTGTAAAATAATAAGCAAATTTTTAAAATGTGTATATTACAAAATATAAATTGTTTTCTTTATTATAATTTAAATATATAGAGAATAGTTCTGCAGAACTAATGGTTGTAAATATTTCTAATAAAACGAACGAATGAATAAAAAAACATGAAAGAAAAACTACGAAAGATACAAAGAAATTGTAAATAAAATGTGGAGGAATTTGTACTATGAAGAAAGGTACTTAATGCTAAAAATTGTGGCGTTTTCGTATGTCGGTGTCGAAATTAAATGTGTATGAAAACCGATGTAGAAAGGCTCCGGCTTCGAATACAGACTACAGCTGTGATGTATGGGGTTTTAATGTTGTAATGTTAAAACCTGGCTTATGAGTCTGTACCTGGCGCATGTCACGTAACAAGATACTTGAACTGATGACGTGCAAGATGTTGGTATCCTGGTGTAGGAGTGGAATTAAATAATATATGAGAACTCCATTTCATGACTGTGGATTGGTAGCTATAGTTCAATTTTGTAGATGGATCTAAACTTGCGTAAAACAATCGATCGGTACTTTTAAAACAATCGATCGGTACGATTTCTATGCTGTCTGTTGGCTGTGAGGTATCAGAAGGGCATAAGTTAAACAGTTCCGGAAATATCACCTATTGACACAGATGCTATGGACCTGTACTTGCATTGCATTATTAAGTCGATTCGACAGGCTTTATGGTCTTAATCTCAGCTCATCAAGCTTGTTAATTTCAAGGATTTTATTGAGAACCCCATTTCATGACTGTGAATTGGAGGCTCTAGTTCAATTTTGTAGATGGATCTAAACTTGCATAGAACAATCAATCGGTACTTTACGATTTCTATGCTGTTTGCTGGCTGTGAGGTATCAGAAGGGCGTAAGTTAAACAGTTCCGGAAATATCACCTATTGACACAGCTGCTATGGACCTACACTTGCATTGCATTATTAAGTCGTTTCGACAGGCTTTATGGTCTTAATCATAAAGAGAATCATTAATTCATCTCAGCTCGTCAAACTTGTTAATTTCAAGGAGTTTTTTTAAAATTCCATTTCATGACTGTGAATTGGTGGCTCTAGTCCGATTTTGTAGATGGATCTAAACTTGCATAGAACAATCAATCGGTACTTTACGATTTCTATGCTGTTTGCTGGCTGTGAGGTATCAGAAGGGCGTAAGTTAAACAGTTCCGGAAATATCACCTATTGTCACAGCTTCTATGGACCTATACTTGGCATTGCATTATTAAGTCGATTCGACAGGCTTTATGGGCTTAATCATAAAGAGAAGCATTAATTCATCTCAGCTCGTCAAGCTTGTTAATTTCAAGGAGTTTTTTTTTTCGAAATATCTCCATCTTCAATCGGCTAACAAAAGGCATGGAGAGGCACCTTCATACAGGTTTTTTACACTTTCGCAGAACCAAAAAAATGACTTAAGAAACTTTTGGAATGGACGGAATATTCGTTGTTTGAAATATCACATAAAATGTTATTTTTAAGTTCGCGATCGTTCGTTTGCTCCAGTGCATTTCTGAGACTTGGGAAATTCAAATGTTATCTTCCTGCTGTCCTTCTTCAAAACAGACTTACATAGATGCCATATATTTCACCACTATGACAAACGATAAGCCTTTACAATATCGAAAATGATCCACAATTAAACTTGCTGTACAATTTTTGGGGATTCGTTGCTTTTTGTTTTGGGAAGTATGGGGAAAGTTCCAATAACTACGGTTAATACTTTCATGTTTTTTTTTTTTGGGTTACTCGATTATTTTCTTGGCAATTTCTCCTAGAATCGATCCTTAGATGTTGCACTGTATTCTAGTTCATTTAAGTTTTGAATTTCTTGTAATTCTTGGAATTTTTCATGATCACGAATGTGAGCATAATTGGCTGACAAGCACATCAAGTAATGGACCAAACTTAGAATAACCAATAACGTGGCCAGGGTGGCCAATATAAACATGACTTCGGCATTTTCAACGCCATCCTTACAAAATGCTTTGATTTCATAGGTTTCACATATTTTCATGTCTTCTTGTTTGGTAGTCGATGGGAACATGAAGTCTGCGGAATAAAATTGTGGTTATTAGAGGTTAACTAGCTATACAATTTTTAACTTACGGAATTGAGTCAAATCTATGCAGCTAAGTGACTGTTCAACGCTTGAACACATATTCCAAAACATGGTGTAAATAAAGGTAACAACAACCAAAAAACATAATATCAAAATCCAAACAAAATTGAGCAAATATGTTAGACCCATCAGCTGAAAAGAAAGAGAGAATTAGAAATTTGTTAAAAGCTGTGGTTGTGAATTTGAAAAGGAACTAAAATTTAACTGTATTGTAATTCTGTATAAGATTTTTGTCAAATTTCAATGTCTAAGAATTGGCACAGGAGTCGAAGTGTAATGTAGGTATGGTACGTACCGGATCCGGCAAAGTTTTGAAATTTAAGCTGGCAATACTCTACTGCAAGAAATCTTATTCATTGTCATTACCACAAGATCAAATTAATTTTAATGGCCGTCAGACCACTTGCCATTGTGACAAATACAGGGTGAGATAAAAAAACTGCAGCAAAGTCAAATGCCATAATTTTTACATTTTCTTTTCAATGTTTTTTTTTTTTTGAATGAAAGCAAAAAATTCCGGAAATAACATCAAATTTTAGAATAAGTTTAGATTTGTTCGAATTGGTCACCTTTGGCACAAAGTATGGCCTTCAAACGTCCAATGAAACCGTCACACGCTGCCCGAATGTTGCTCTGCGGTATTTTGGCCCATTCCCGGCGAAGCGCTTGTCTGAGGTGATCGACATTTGGGTATTTATTAGTGCCAACCTTCCCTTCCAAAATAGTTCAGACACAATAGTTCAACGGAATGGTATCGGGAGATTTTGGTGTCCATTGTGCGCTGGAAATGAAGCGAGGTACCTCATTTTGTAAGCTTTTTTTGGCGGCGCGTGCTGAGTGCGATGGTGCTGAGTCCTGTTGGGATGTCCAGGGTCTGCGGCCAAAATGTTTGCTTGCCCAAGGCTTTAATACACCCTCCAGAATATTTTCTCAATAATATTCGAAATTTATTCTGATGTCACGGTCGATTAATATTAGCAAGTAAAGACAATCATTTTGTTTGTTTACAAATTGCTGGACAACGAATCATCGGAGAAAACCAAATTCGGCACTTCACCACGTTCGGCCAAGCGAAGTAACTCTTTAGCTCTTTTGAGTCTATTTTCTTTCTGTAGCGGTGTAAGTTCTTGCACTTTTTGGAATTTCAAAAGCTTTACCTCGAGCTCATTTTTCAATATTTGCCAAATGGAATATTGCGATATGTTCAGCTCACGAGCCATTTTTCGGCCACTGCGACGCGGGTTTCGATCAAGTCGCTTCTTTCATTTTTGAACCATTTCTGCTGATGTTGCTGTTTTCTTCCGTCCACTTTCTTGATGTCGGGCTACACTACCAGTATCACGGTAACCAGCGATGGTACGAGACGCAAAAGATTTATTCACATTTAAATGTTGGAGTGCTCTAACGATAGCCACTTGTGGTTTTCCAGCCAAATATAAAGACATCACACTATCACGCTTGAATTCGAACGTTCCCACGCCTCACATTCCCACCCCTGCCGACCGAGGGGGCGACCTCCCTTTACGGAGGGATCGCGTACACATCATGATCCGCATCATAATGGGAATTCAGTAGGAAATTGAAAACCAGCTACAGAATCTAATTCATCAGCTAGTTTGTCAAATAATAAAACAGGTATGTTAATTGTTTAAAAATAAAATTATTCTAGATTTAATAACTTCTAAACTCATACAAAAATCTACATTACAATACACAGAATTAAAGTCAACACACATTTTATTAAGAGGTTAGCCCATTGAATTCGTGCGGTGAAAATCAGTATATAATAATTGGTAGTATCTACTAGATCTAAAAGGAACATTAATTCTAATATATGAGATTAGGAAATCTGAAGGTATATAACCATTTAATATTATTAGTACAAACATGGAGTTCAACATAATACGTCTGCTTTTAAGTGTAGGCAATCTAATTAATTTTAGCCTGCTAGCATAAGAAGGCAAAACAAAATCACTATTCCAATGTAAACCTCGTAAGGCAAATAGCAGAAATTGTTTTTGCACGGATTCTATTTTATCTGAATATATTGCATATTGAGGATCCAATACAACAGAACCATATTCCAATATAGGTCTAACAAGAGACGTAAATAATTGTTTTGTTATATATGGATCAGAAAATTCTTTGGCCCACCGTTTAACAAAACCTAAAACACCATTTGCTTTATTTACCATTGTTATTACATGGCTATTAAAATTTAATTTTGGATCCATCAAGAGGCCTAGATCGACAAATGAATCTACAGTTGATAATGAATGACCGTCAATATTATATTGTAATATCAGAGAAGAAGATCTGGAGAAGCACATATGCTTACATTTGCTTAAATTTAACTCCATACAATTTAACTTGCACCATTTAAAAAGGCTGTCTAAATCGTTTTGAAGTAAACTGGCTCGTTTATCACAATTATGTGAAATGAATAATTTAACATCATCTGCGTACATTAACAATTTCGAGTAATTTATGGAATTAGGTAAATCGTTGATAAATAAAAGAAAGAGGACCGTTCCAAGGTGACTTCCTTGCGGAACACCCGATGGAACGTTAATCGTTTTGGATAGATACCCTTCAAACAAAACTAGTTGTGATCTATCATTTAAGTAAGATGATATCCATTTGACTAAGTTTGTGTTGAAACCCATATAATTTAATTTATATATTAGGAGTTCATGGTTAACCCTATCAAAAGCTTTACTAAAATCAGTATAAATTGTATCAGTTTGTTTACGCTGAACAAATCCTTTTATTACTGTTGACGTAAATTGTATAAGATTTGTTGTAGTTGAAAGACCACTACGAAAACCATGCTGATATGGACTCAATATAGATTGAATTTTCTGTGAAATTACTGCAGTAATTAATTTTTCAAACAATTTAGGTATGGCACTTAATTTTGCAATTCCTCTATAATTTGACACATTAGTAAGACTACCAGACTTATGTAAAGGTATAATATAAGATTTTTTCCAGAAAGTAGGAAAGTGACCAAATTTCAGTGAATAATTAAACAATATAGTTAACGGAAGTGCTAATGTTTCTGAACAATATTTAAGAATTATATTAGGTATGCCATCCGGTCCTGGACATTTAATCGATTTTAAACTACGCAGACTATTGTACACATCCTGACGTTGTAGAAAAGGCATACAAATTTGATCAGCCTGTGACAACTTATAAGGATACGAATCTTTAATTTGGCAAGATGTACTGGAATAGGTTGTGGCAAAAAAATCTGCGAAACATTCAGCAATATCTGTGCCTGTGACAAATTCTTTATTGTTATATTTCAATACTGAGGGCTTTGAGGAAACTTTTCGTTTTAGATTAACAAAATCATAAAAAGATTTAGGATTGGATTTAAAATTATTTTTAATCTTGTCTAGGTAAAGATTGGGAGGTTTTCTTAGAAACCTCACCAGCAATACTCATAACTTCAGGATTATTTACCCCTTTACCTATACCGCTGTTATCTACCGGAACTGGGTGTGTAACAACACTGGCATACGACTGTTCACGTCCAGTCTCAGTTGTTTCAGTGATATTAACTGAAACCGGTTGTGGAACAGTGTTCTCCACAGAAACTATTGCTTTGCGACTAGGCATTCCCTTAGTTGGTGCCTTTTTCGCAGCCCTTTTGCGTTTCTGGCCAGAAACTGACGGTGACGACACAAACTCATCTAAATCTTGGTATTTCTCAAACAATGTAGAGAAATTCTCGAATCGGAATGATAGTGAGGAAAAATCTTTTTTCATCGATGTCAATTCCGACTGCAAATCCTTTACAAAATTATAAAATCTTGATGAATCTTGTAAGAGGTGGTATTGGTATTTGTTGAAACCTTTTCAATTTCCTCTTGTCGACTTATATATTGAATGCCTTTCAATCTTACATAGGATGTATGTAAACTACTGGAAGCTGCAAAATGTCCATGTATCGTAACAAATTTGTTTTTTATTACGCAGGTAGGACCAATTTCCATTATTCCGGAATTTTTAATGATGATGAGGTTGGTTTCAGATCCGCATACCATTGAAGATTCAATATCGGCTGTAGTAGCAAAGATCCATTTATTTTGATGATGTAATTGACTCCAAACTGCTGTTCCAGTAATTTTGTGAAGACGGCAATTGCTAGTTGATTGGTTATTGAAGATATTGATCTCGCAAGGGTTAACAAGTGCATTTTTCTTGAGCTTTGACTGCTGATTTCTGCAAATATATTCATCATCGTTTGGTTTGAGACAGCTTGAACTATCCTCTGATTTGACAAGAATATATTCTTCTCTATGTGCATCGGTAGATATGTATTCCGTTTCTGGTTGAATGGCGATTAAGGTGTCATTTTGTATTGTTGGAACTGCAAATATTTTGAACAACTCAAAAAACTGTTGGTTAACTAAGGGTATCTTCCTATAGTATTATAGGACTGGTTGCAATTCTCACTCTTTTTGCCGGAATGACACCTCTTCTATGTTCACCTGTTACCGATTTTTTCTTGTGGAAATTGTGCTTTCTTGAGTTGTATCTTTGTCAATTATAGCATTATCATGATCTTCTGGACCCATTATTTGTTGATACCGTTGTGGTCGCGCTCTATTACATTTTATGCATCTTTGAACGGTAGACCTTGCTGTTATCTTGCCTTTTATTGGCCAGAATCGCTGTCTTATTGCGTTTAACAAGGCTTGAGCTCCACAATGTTTATTTTATTCATGAACTGTCTTAAATAGCAATTTCGCCAAAGGATCATTATAAGGCAATATCATTTGGTGTTTCGCATCCATTTGTAGCATAGCATGTTCAAATCTTCCTCCAACGCGAAGAATGCCTTCATCATCCAAAAACGGTGATAAACTGCATAGCGAGCTATGCTTATTAATCTGCTTTTCAGCCTTCAATGCGTTGATATCAGCTGCAAATTCGGATGATTGTACGGCTTGAATTATTCGACGAAGGGAGTCGTCTAATTCGTTGGAAGACAGTGCTATATGTTGAGGCCGGTGTGCCTTTTGCATACGTGCATTGCTGGTGAATCTAAGCACGTATGCTAAAATTCTTTGTAACTTCCTGAATGAATTTTTGTGCTCGATCATATGTATTAGATGCATGTCAGAAGCTACTATTGACGTCGTAGCTGCAGTCTTTAACTCCATGCTATTTGTTATATCCTCTTGCGGAGAGAATTTGGTCGGCCATAGTTCTTCCCTTCCATGAAGAAAAACTGGACCATGAAACCATAATCGGCATTTAGAAAGATCAGCTGGCGAGAGTCCTCGGGATAAAATGTCGGCAGGATTTTCTTTTGACTTAACGTGGTTCCATTGTTCTGGCAATGTTAAGTTTTGTATGGTGGATACCCTATTAGCCACAAAAGTCTTATATACGTTGGACCTTGATTTTATCCAGGCGAGTACTATTTCAGAATCAGTCCATAAAAACATCGGATTATTCTGAAGCCTTAGGTCATTTTTCACCCTGGTAGCCAGTTGAGCTGCTACCACTGTGGCACATAGCTCTAATCGTGGTAGAGTTTGTTTTTTCAAAGGAGCTACCCTAGATTTAGCACAGATCAGACGTACAACTACTCGTCCATCCTTTCCAATAAAACGAATATAAATAGCCGCGCCAAAAGCTCTTTCCGATGCATCGGCAAACACATGCAACTGGATTTTCGTCGGGATCTCCCCACAGAATACATGTCGCGGTATCTTAAAGTTGTTGAGACCTTCCAATTCCCTTCGAAATGTTTTCCAAGTGGCACAAAGTTTTTCGGGTAGTGCTTCGTCCCAATCTAATGTATGTTGCCATAGCTGCTGAATAAATATTTTTGCCTTCACCACAATCGGTGCAAGTAGGCCAAGCGGATCAAATAATTTTGCTAGTTCAGACGTAACTACTCGTTTTGATATGATTTCATTATGATCAATGTTTGTTTTTACACAAAATTGATCTGCTTGCGGCATCCAATATAATCCCAACGTCTTTATTGTTTGAGATTCTTGGTGTATTGGATGACCATTTCCTTAGAATGAAGCCGTGTTGTTTCAATGTTGTTATTAACTCCTTTAGTATTTCAATAGCTGTATTTAGGCTATCTGCACCGCCGAGACCGTCATCCATATAAAAATTATCTTTCAGCATTTGTGAGCCTAATGGATAACGCTCCATGTTCTCGTTTGCAATCTTTTGTAAGCATTTTGTAGCCAGATACGGTGCTGAACGTGTCCCATATGTGACCGTATTAAGTTTGTAATAACTGACTGGATGGGATGGATCCTCTCTCCAGATAATTAGCTGATACCTTTGATCATCGGGATGCATTAAAATCTGCCTGTACATCTTTTCAATATCGGTTGTGAAGACGAATTTTGGCAATCGAAACCTCAGCAAAATAGAAAACAATTCACTTTGTACGATTGGTCCTGTATACATTAGATCATTTAACGATTGACCTGATGAAGTTTTCGCTGATGCGTCAAATGCAACCCTAAGTTTTGTTGTTGTACTATCGGGCTTGAGAACACAATGATGCGGAATAAAATATTTAGGATTTGATACGGTACACACGTCAATCTTTTGCATGTGTCCTAATTGTTCATATTCTCGCATAAATTTAATGTACTGACTTCGGATATCTTCCTTCTGTAGAAGTCGGCGTTCAAGGCTCATAAATCGGTTATAAGCCATTGCATGTGATTTCCCCAATGCTGTTGGAGATTCTTGAAACGGAAGGCTGACGATGAAACGACCATTCTGATCCGTCTTAACATGTTGATTGAAGTGAGATTCGCAAAGGGTTTCTAATGGAGACATGACCTTTTCAGTTGATTCCACTTCCTCAAGTTTCCATAATTTTTCGATAGCTTGTTCCAGTGATGTTTCACTAAAAATTGCGCATGTTAGCGCTGCTGATGTGTCGTCCGTTGACGATTGTTGAATTAAACCACCTACAATCCAGCCAAGCGCAGTATTTTGGAGTATGGGTTTATGACCATTTAGTTTTATCGCGAATAACTTTTTTTCTGGAAAATTCTCAAAGAAATGCTTTTGTACGCTTGTAAACGATAAAATGAGCTATCACTGGAATAATTTTAACAGCTGTCGGAGGAGTGGCTTAGAAATGACAGCAGTCTGAAGTTGGTTGCAGTTTTTTCATCTCACCCTGTATGGTCTTTTAAATGTAACTTTTTCGTTTCTATAGCTGATAGTAGTTAACACTTTGTAAACAGTTTGCAAAGACGAGGTTCTCTTCCCGAGAAAACAACATCCCAAAGGCGATCTTCGATATGCACTGAATGATATTTATTGATTACTGCCAGGCAAAGGCTGTTTGGGACCATTGTTTTTCGCACCCAATTATCCAACGTCTTTTCAAATACCTACCACTGCACATGATATCCGACCACCAACACGCGTACCCCATGCTCGATATACTTTATAACGTGTTGCTCCTGTTGCTAGGAATCCCACAAATAATATCATAAATCCTAAAGTTGCCATTGTACCGCCAATAATTATAAAAATCATTCGAATTGTTTCAATCCTGAAAAAAATCAACATAAATAAGTTAGTACTGCTACAATTCGATTATTATGTTCCGAACAACTTACCATATCAGTCTTAGATGAAATACTTGATCCACCATAATTACAGTCAATGAAGCTCCCCTATACATGGTGCCGCAAAATATGCCAACGCCCAATAGGCACATAAGTGTGGCTATCAGGGTGGCATATGGGACTCTTGCCATGCATGATTGACAGCAATCACCTGAAAAAAGGTAAAATAAAAGATAAGCTTCAATGTAAAATGTTACAACTATTCGGAGGGTATATTTTTAATACACAATTTCTACAAATAATATTGGACGAAACTTAAAAGCTGTGAGGTTTACAACGAAATTTCGTTTTGCGAACGTGATTTAGGTACCATAACTTATTTTGTCTAGTTCTATTTAGGGCGAGATAATTTGTATTTTCCTACCTCTACCACCACCACGTTCGGTATAGCGATCGATGGACAAATCGGAACGATATGTCCTGCGTCGATTATTGCCATTTCCATTGTTAGGTCTAGCATTGTAGGCACGCGTTAAAACACCATCATCTTCGAAATTGGTTTCCAATAAAATTTCTTCGCGTGGATCAGGCACACGATTTGGATTTGTAGCAGCACCAGAAGAAAACATTTTTAAGGAGGGGTTTTAACAATAAGAAGATATGTACGTAAAGATCGCATACAGACACACACGCTTCATAACATATCTGTACGGCAAAAAAAATAATACTAAATTAATTACACTGGAGATGTGTAGAGTTGACTGAGGACTGTAATTTTGTTTTCGAACTCATTTCGGTTTGCTTTTGTTTGTGTGTTTGGAATGGGTGACACATTCTCCCTATCACATTGTTAAGCTTAAATACACAGTGTGACAAAATTGAAAAATAAACAACAACATCAATTATGAAAACATAGAGAAGATAAAACTAAAATAACAAAAATATGAAGTGTTTTCTCAAAAAAAAGTAAATAAATAAAATAAAAAAATATTGAAAATTTAAAAACTATTTCATATAAATTCTATAATATTAAAATATGAAAGAAATTTCATTTACTAATAAGTATTTTGGATTTTGTCCCAAGTCTTTTTACCCACTGTCATCATAATCTCTTGTTTTATCTTATCAATAACTGGAACGATTTTCTTTCATACTTGAGTGAGTATGAAACGAAGAGAGTTGCAATATCGAGTCAGGTAATAGGAGAACTTTTTTTAGGTGATTCAGTATCAGATATGTCGCAATGCCATTGTGAATCATGGTTCATAAGCATTTCCCTTGATTTAATTGTTTGCTGTTTAGTTACCTGAATGAAGAGCTTTAGCATTTGTTTCATAAAAACGTTAATTTGAAATAAAGTTTTAAATTTGGGAGCGAAGAGTTGAAAAGTAAATCAGTAAAAAAATTGAAAAACATTAAAATTTTAAATTATTTTTATCAAAATTAGCCGGAGAAGGGCTTCAAATTATACTTTTCGCCTAAACATCTGTAGCTAATTATTGGTGAAAATAAACCTTTGAACTACGGACCCAAAATACCAATAAAAGGCGTAGAATATGGATAAAATTGTTCGACCAAACCAGTATTTACTCTAATTTGAAAGAATAGCATGCATCATGCTCAACGTGCTCAGTTATTTATTTATAAATTAATCTGGTTCTTCATCGATGTCCAGGTTTAAGAATTCTGATACCTTTATGGGCTGTAGCCAAAGATCCTATGGACGGAGTAGGGTAGGCTTGGCTGGACAATAAAACAGGTGCAGCGTATTGTGCGGGCCTGTATCGCACGCTGGGTAGGCGTTCCACACATCTTCATCAATTCGTGCGCAATATGAATTGAGACAGCTGTGTCATCCGGCCAAAACTACCATGGTTTGCCTAGGCAGCAGACGTTTACGTTAACATGCTCAACTTGGACAGATTGCGAAGAGTTATACGTTTAATGTGGAGCACTCCACAAGTTGTTATATCAAAATCACATCCTTTAAATGCATTTGGGAGGAGAATCAGCCGGCATGGCTTAAAAGAATTTTTTTTGGTCCTGCTTATCATGCTGAGAATCTAAGAAATTTGTGTTTCCAGTAATTATAGACACCTATGAAGTATTTTTGTGGTGGAAGTTCTAAAATTAATAATTGTGGCGAAAGCCTTACCTTCCCAACTCTGCAGACACAGTGGGAGACCTACCGCTTCGTGTACGCAGCACCACGATCCAAATAATGACAGTAATTGAGAATAAAATTAAAATCGGCTACAGAAATGTGTTTAATCAAATTATTGCAGGTTTAATATTTGAGGACCTGCATCACCCTAAGAATTTCCAAAGATGCACAACGTGTCGGGATGTTGGGGTCCCAAAGTTAATCTGGCCACTCTTTATTTCAAAGGATAGAAAAAATATTTACTTTTACTAACGAATTGTAACCTTCAACTACATTTACAGTGTAAGATTGAAATTGTTACAGGAAATGCTCCGGTCGAAATGCAATCTTCTAAAACCGTACCTATAGCTTCTCAATTCTTAGCGCCTGCAATTGTTGTTAACTCGTCCAGTACAATAGCTAATACTATTCCTGTAATTTCTACTGACAACACTAATAAGCAAACGTTATCGTCTCCACGTTCGGCAGAACCGTTAAGGGAAGCTTCTGTTACTGCAGAATCTAATAAGCCTTTCGTTCTCACCAAGCCTCGAGCGGTTATAGAAACAAAATCTGTTCCTGCAGATAAATTTAAAAATAATCTATCTGTTTCTGCAGATACTATTAATGAAAAGTCTGTTTCTGCAGACAATAACAATGTAATCCTTACGCCTTCTGATTTAAATGAAAAGTCTGTTTCTGCAGACAATAATAACGAATTCCCTATGCCTTTGCCTACGGATCAACTTATTGTTGTAGCGCCGAGTAAAACTATATTTGTGTCTCGATTGCATCCCGATACTACAGTTGATAACCTTCGGTCTTACATAAAAACAAAAATTCCAAATTTACCTGATAATGGCATAAAAATTTTTAAATTTAACAAGTCCCAACCTCGCGATATTTCATCATTTAAAATCATTACTCCTGCTAAATTATTTAATTTAATAGTTAACAGAACGTTCTGGCCGGATGGATTGTTGGTAAAGGAATTTGTATTTAGGGAAAGAACAAACCCCGTTAATTTACCAGTTAATCTTTCAGTTGTACCATTGTCAAAAAACTAACTAAATCTCTATCTCTTCTCTATCAAAACGTGAGAGGTCTTAACACTAAACTTAGAAATATTTATTTAAAATCCTTTGACTGTGATTTCAAAATTTTGGTATTCACGGAAACATGGTTAAAACCACAAATTCGTGACACTGAGATTTTATCTGATCAGTACCAAATTTACAGAAAAGACAGATTAAATAAAATGGGTGGAGGAGTTTTTATTGCCGTTCATAATTCCATTGCCTCAGTACGTATTTTGGTTACAGAACACCCTACGATTGAATTTGTTTGTGTTAAATTAAAGTATCTAAATTGTAATTTTATTATAACTTGTTCATATATTCCTCCAAATTCAGACATGGATACTTATCTTATGCATTCAGCCTCAATAAAAGAGGTTTCATTATATCATTCCTCCAACGCGGAAATGATTTGTCTGGGGGATTTCAATCTGCCTAATCTAGCATGGGTCCCAGGAGAAAATATTGTAGATTATGTACCAGTATCTTCTATAGAACTTTCTACTGAGATGTCATCTTTTTGGGAAATCTTATTTGAGCAATGTCTTTATCAAATAAATTCTATCTATAATGCAAAAGGTAAATTATTAGATTTAATTTTTTCTTCTTCCTTAACTTCTTCTGTGTGCAGAATCCCTCCTTTCTCAGAGCCAGAGGATATGTATCATCCTACTCTTATGGTAGCCATTGAACTTAGTAACATTCAAACAAAACATACTTCATCTCAAAATAAGTCACGTAAGTTAAACTTTGGCAAGACTAACGTTGATCTGTTGCGTTCTACATTGTCCAATATAAATTGGTGTTTTGAAGGTAATTTGGATTTTCGTATTTCAAGCTTTTATAAAATAATTAACAATGCATTAGAAACCTCAGTCCCACTTGTGAAAATGTGCTGTGATAGGGGTCCAGTTTGGTTTACCCCACAACTTAGGCGCTTACGTAACATAAAAAAAGATGAAAAAACTGCAACCAACTTCAGACTGCTGTCATTTCTAAGCCAGTCGTGCGACAGCTGTTAAAATTATTCCTGTAACAGCTCATTCTATTGTTTACAAACGTACAAAAGCATTTTGGTGAGAATTTTCAAGAACAAAAGTTATTGGCAAAGAAATTTAAGCGTGATAGTGTGATTTCTATATAATTAGCTGGAGAACCACAAGTGGCTATCATTAGAGCACTCCTGCATTTAAATGTGAATAAATTTCTTGTGTCTCGTACCGTGATACTGGTAGCGTAGCCCCACGTCAAGGAAGTGGACGGAAAATAACAGCAACATCAGCAGAAATGGTTCGAAAAGTAAAGAAGCGAAACCCGCATCGCAGTTGCCGATGGCTCGTGAGCTGAACATATCACAATATTCCATTCGGTAAAAAAATGAGCTCGGGGTGAAGCCATTGAAATTCCAAAAAGTGCAAAAACTTACACCGCAACAGAAAGAAAATAGACGCAAAAGAGCTAAAGAGTTGCTTCGCTTGGCCGAAAGTGGTGAACCGCCGAATTTGGTTTTCTCCGATGAGAAAACATTCGTTGTCCAGCAGTTTGTAAAGAAACAAAATGATCGTGTTTTCTTGCCAAAGAGGTCAGCTAAAAATGTACACCTTCGGTTGGCCACCAGAACTCAATCGCCGGCCATGGTGATGATGTGGGCCGCCATAACAGCTGATGGTCGCTCTCCGCTTGTATTAATCGACCGTGGCCAGCAGAATATATGCCGAATATTATCGCGAAAATATTCTGGAGGATGTACGCAAACATTGATCTGCGGTATTTTGGCCCATTCCCGGCGAAGCGTTTATTTGAGGTTATCGACATTTCGGTATTTTTTGGTGCCAACCTTACTTTCCAAAATACTCCAGACTCAATAGTCCAACGAATTGGTATCCGAAGATTTTGGTGGCCACTGTGCGCTGGAAATGAAGCGAGGAAACTCAAGAAGAATGGTTACAAACATTCTTGGGTGGCGCGTCCAGAGTGCGACGGTTCTGAGTCCTGTTGGAATGTTCAAGGTCTGCGGCCAAAATGTTTGCGTGGCTTGGGCAATTTTCGGGCAGCGTGTGTCGGTTTCATTGGCCGTTTAAAGGCCATAATTCGTGCCAAAGGTGACCAATTCGAACAAATCTAAACTTATTCTAATATTTGATGCTATTTCCGACATTTTTTGCTTTCGTTCAATTAAATTGAAGAAAAAAATGTAAAAATTATGGCGTTTGGCTTTGTTGCAGTTTTTTTATCTCACCCTGTAGTTAATATTATTGCAGGTTACTATATTATAGGGGCCATGGCTCCCAAATGATGGAGATAAGGACTTGTTTACTATGGGCCCCTCGAAGACGAGTGATGAGTAGCAAGACCTAATATCTCCTAAACATAGAACATTTGAGGACTTTACAAATATTCCGAAACCACTTTAAGTGCTTTCTGTCGCCCTTGCCCCAATCTCTCACTTATTTCTCCACAATGAAAACAAGTCTTTGTCCTTTATTTTGTCAAGTGTTTAAATGGAAACAGTTATTTAAAAATATCTCCTCGATAAATCACCGAAAACATAGCAAATATTAAGACCTCCACATATTTCGAAATCACTTCAAAGTCTTCGTG